TATTTCAAAGTACTTTGAGAGAGTGGTCTTTAACTAAAGATGTGGTATGCAGAGCCCACTGCTGCACTCTGGTCAGGTAAGTAAAGTTCCCGTAGAGGAACTATGTATTAAATTAATACTATATTACAAATGATAACAAAATGCATTGTAGAAACTGAGATTAAGATGTAGAATGGCAACCAATAGGTATGAGTTGGTATTGTTGTTACAGTACAAGCTATCAGATCCAAAGTTTGCTGTCATTTTGGAAATACCTCCAAATACTTCATTGTCTTTGGCTCAGATATGTGTAATATTTTGCATGTTTAACAAAGACTCAGGAAAAATGCAGTAAGATTTTAACAGCTATGAGCACCCCACTGAGCTAGAAAAAGCTGTTGGAAATTAATTATCCCTGAAAACAATTACCATATACCATGTATAAAAAAAGACAGTGTTAGCAGTGGGATGAACAGTAACGCTGCAAACTACTGCTGGTGGAATTGCTCCTACGTCATACTTACTCTTGCCAGTGTTTTCACTTTTTATAGATTACCAGGTGAAAGGTGGTTTTGACAAAGTAACAGTAACTGTTTAATTTAAGGGATTTGTTTGTTGAATTCAAGCATTCATAGGTATTTATTCCAGAGTGTCACTCCTACTTCCAAGTATTCTTTTTCTAAAGTTCCTTTGTTGGAATTAAAGAAATAGCTAATAAAAATAAAGATTGATCTTCAGGGAATAGAATTACAACTGGTATGTTAAAGTTAAGCAGTTAACAACAAAGGAGAAAGAACAGAGGGAAAAGGAAATGTCCCTTGTTAAATATTTATGTTTTTTTTGGCGAAAACTGCCTTATAAATGACAATACAAGTGTTCTTTAGATAAAGGTCAGCGTTCAGCATAGAGTTAAGTCTCCCATTGAGACATTTCTTGGCACAGAAACTTTGATTATATAAATTTCATATAGGAAATGCAAAGTGCCATAATGTGGGACTTTGATCAATGATGCTATCCTGATTTATAATTGTGTTTTTTTTAAATTGTGATGTGCACAAAGCACTAATTTAAAAGCTCATTTTAGTTGCAACCTACCTCTTCCTTTCAATAACACAAAAGTCATCTGATTACATTTTTTTCAGTCATCCTTGTATCACTTATTAGATAATCTCCTTATAGTTTAAAACTAAAAATGTTAATGGATTGGGGAAATGGGTTTCTGCTTTCACCTAGCATATCTGTCTTTTTTATGCTTGTCTTTTGGATCATTTGTCTAAATAATAACCTTTAGTACCCACTCCTTCCTTCCAATGAACTAAAAGATATTAATGATTAAAATCATTGAATACACATCTCCCTACTCTAGTTTTGCCAGCTGAGGTTACCACTTGCAGCTGCTTCTTTTTTGGGGAAGGGGTGGAGCTACAGGCATCCCCTTGCAGAGTTACTCATATGGTTACTTCCTAATTTGTCTCAATCAAAACAGCCTAAATTAGCTTAAACTAACTGTAGATCTCTTTTAGTGAGTGTCACCAGTCAGCACTGACTGAAAGGACATTGATCTTGATAACTAAAAGAAAGCAATTATATCAAAAACTCAGCAAACAGCTTTCAGTCAGCAAATCTGTTGGGGCAGCCCCAGAACAGAGGCAGTAATAAGGTGCTGCGGGTATGCTGCCTTCAGCAGGAAAACCTGGAGATATAGGAGGATATATTTGCATGGCCCTAGTCTCAGAATGATGGAGGACAAGTCATTTTGTGCAAAAACAGCATGGAGAAGATAAATGACAAGCCCAAGGTCAGGTACAAAGATTGTGGAAGTTGTGGGAGTAAGTGCCAGGACAGATATTTTTTTTCTAGAGTATCTGTGTAGTTCGGTTTTCATCATGCCTGACCTAAGTTTTATAAGGATCAAGCTTTCAGAAATTGCTTAGCACATACCATCTGGAAAAAAAGGTCAACCAGATTCTGAGCAACAGAAATAACTTTAAAACACCTAGGAAATCACTTTCCCCACCTACCAATACCTTCTGAAATAGATGGAACTGAAGCACATTGGAAGAGCCAACAGCTTTGTAATGCCTTGAGACTTTGGAAAATATATCCAGAGGAAGAGTATGCTTCCACAGACAATCTCTCTCAGCAGGTCAAATTTCAGTCCTGCTGATCCCAGTGGTGACAGTATAACATGGAGGAAACAATACCTCAAGTAGATGGATGTCATGCTAGAGACTCACAGCAGTCTTCAAGTAACTTCACTGTTCTGAGGCTCTCACTGCTTAGAATAAATTCATTCTGGCACAAACCTTTCAGTCTGCATAGTCAAAAAAGTCTTTGGATATAAAGCGATATTCTTCCATATATCAGGCTGTTTTCTCCATTGATAAGAACAAAGAATGAACCTATGAGCTCACTCTAAAAGTCTTTCTGGTGCTGCTTTGATATTTTATATGGTGATAAATAGCACAATATTCTCAATAGTTGCAAATTACAAAAGAGCCAGAATCTACCTATGTGTACTATGTAGTCACTAAATCACATTTTCATGGCACATGGGAGGTGACCAGGAGACAATAGCAGACAGCTAAAAGAATTGTATTTTGCTCATTCTGCTGAGGGGGGGAAAAAAAAAAAAAAAAAAAAAAAAAAAAACAAAGCAAAAAAAAAAATCCATGAATATAGTTTAATAGGAAAGGCAATCTGTTCACAAATATTATCTCAGCAGGAAGCAACAATTTCCTGAAATAACAATTCTATATGAACTTTAATTTCCAGTGAATCATGCCATTATGTTCAACTTCATTCCAAATGCGAAACCTGCCCTTGCAGCTTGTTCTCTGCTACAGTATCACTGTCAAAACAAAGAACAATTACAAAATGTTCTCTCAATTCAGAATTCCTATTTGGTAAATTATGCCAATATGACACAGAGATCTAAATGTGAGATTCATAAAATGGAAACTGGATTTCTCCCCTTTCCTGGTATTTAGACAACACAGGAAAGTTGGAAGAGTAGTTGACAGAGTTTCTAATTATTCACATTTTAGATTTTAAGATAATTGTATTTACCAGGTTCTTGAAGCCAAATTCATAAATATAAAATAATAAAACACAATATTCTAGGATAGTATGTGAAATATTTGTTGTATTTATTTAGATATGGCATCACTAGATTTAAATGCTGAATTAGTCTACTTAGCAGATAGATATTTCTTTCAATATTACATTTTCTTGACGATTATATTTATACTTTTTCTGAAACACTGTTTTAATTCTTAGAAAGTATTTTTACTTCACAAACAGGTGATAATAATCCTATTAATATTTTTTTTACAGAAGTAGCACGCCCATTCTCATCCAAATTTGGGATTATGGAATTCAGTAAAATACATGCTTTCCACATTTTGCTTTGTGATATGAAGTACTGAAGAAGGCAAATATTCACATTTTCTCTGAAGATACGTGAAATTTCCCATTATTGGAAAGCTCTGTTGCCCTGAATGACAAATTACACGATGAGACAGAAGGAAGATGCAAGTCTCAGAGTTTTAAAGGTATATAATATTTTCTCAAATTATATTCAGCTGCTTTTACCTATAGCATTCTGGCATGTTGCTGGATTACTGCTATCAATAAATCTATAAATAGGATGCAAAATGCATGTGAGCTCTCTGTGCATGAATAAAGAGCAGCCCAGCAATAAATTATAGCATAATATATAGTTTAAAATTTACCAAAAGGAGTGCCTTGACAAATCAATGCAACGTATTTGTCACTGAAGGTGAAAGATTCATTATACTTCAGCCTCAAGAAATCTGGATTTCTGAAGCATGGGTCATCTAGGACATATGATGTAATGAGAGAAAATGGAAACATGCATAGACAAAAATAATATTCTGAATAATAAAGACATATTACTTTTTCAAGTAAAATATAAGTCTTGTGCAGTACTTCATTGTTCAAAAGAGGTCAGGAGTGAAACACCAGAGAACAAAATAATTAAACCTGACTTCCTATGGATTTGGTCCCTGCAGGAGATTCAGGACTGACCCTTTTTCTGAAACTGGGTTATATGCACTGGCTTTAGTTTGTGTTTTCTGGTGTCTGCTAAGGTCTAAGCTCATCTTGTGGCAATTTTTTCAGCTGAGAAATTCCTTCCTCTACCCAGCCACCTATTTGGATGAAACTTGGGGAAATGCAGTGTTTCGGGGAAATCCAGGCATCTGCCAGACGTGACTGAAACTGGTACTAGATTTCAAAGTTGGTGAGAGGAGAGGACGCAGACACAGGGCCAGACACACACATCCAGCAGGTTACATAAGCCCAAGAGTACAGCAAAGAGACTAAAAATAAGACCAACCAATTGGGTTTCCTGCTGACAGCAGCAAACTGCCATAGGACATTTAATTCCCTCTGATCACATAAATGACAGACAAGTTGTCACCTGCTGTATGCGCCAGGCCACGCAGAGAGGGGAGAATCCCATCCCTGTGGCAGGGGCCGCCAGTCCCAGCAGCTCCATCACCCTGTCCTACGCACTGCTGTGGATGGAAACATCCCAACAGAAGTTAGCAGCGGAGAGAGGCTGCAGATGTGGACGTTGTCTCTAGCATGCTCAGGAAGAGACACCTGGGCTTGGCAGGGTTGGAAAGCGCTTAGAATACGGGACTGGGCAGGTGTTGGAGAAGCCAGGGCCACTGATGTCCCTCAGCTGCTGCTGCCTCGCGGGGCGTTAGCAAGAGCCTCATGCCCAGTGGGCACCAGGGCCTTGTGAACGCAGCCAGGGCTACGATGGATGAATTGTTCCAGCCTATTCTGTAAGAAGAGGGGCAAGTCTTGAATTTTCTTAAATATAATTTAAAAAAAAAAAAAAAAAGGGGGGGGGACCTCTACCGATTCAGCTGCTTTGTTGCAAGTTCCAAGCGAGCCCCAGCCCGCCAGGGCCCATGTCCTCAGAGCGGGGGCCGCCCCGCGTCCAGCAGGGGGCGCCGCTGCCCGAAATGGCGGCCGGGCGGCGGAAGAGGAAGGTTAGCTCTTCCCCAAGATGGCAGCGCCCAGGGGCGGCGTGGCTGAGGGGAAGATGAAGCGGCCGCGGGCCGCCCGCGCTCGCCGCGGCGGAAAACTGGACAGGCTGCGGCAAGCGGTGCAGGAGTTCGTGCAGGCAGCCGGCGACCAGCCGCCGCTGACTCTGCTGAAAGACTCGGAGAAGCAGAACCGCAGGAGCCGCCGGGACGCGAGGAAGGAGAAGCGCAGGCTCAAGCGGAGCCGCCGCCGCCGCCTCCAGCGCGGGGAGCCGGTGGAGGTCCCCGCCGCCCCGGTCAAGCAGGCCCCTGCCAAGCCGGCTCCTGCCGCCCGCCCCAGAGCCCCGGCCTCGCCCGCCGCCACCGTTGGAAAGCAGCGGCCGGGGCCGCCGCGGCAGCAAGAGGTGGCGAAGCCGCCGGTGCCGGCAACCCCCGGCGCGGCAGCCGCCGCAACCGCCTCGGCGCGGAAGCGTGCCCTGCTGCAGGCCAACGAGGAGGAGGAGAAGGAGATCCGGCGCCTGGAGCGGCGGCTGGGGCTTGGCAAGCGCCGCAAGAAGCAGGAGGGGGCCGCGGCGGAGAAGCTGCCACAGAGCTTCCTGCGGGACGGGCTGGGCTACGTGCTGGGCGCTCTGGGCTCCCGGGCCGGCCTCAGCGAGCTGTGCGAGAGCAGCGAGGAGGAGGCGGAGGAGGCTCCAGGGCGGCGGGAGGGCCAGCCGGAGCCGGAGAGTGAGAAGGATTCGGAGGACGCCTCAGACCCCTGCGAGGGGGGCGATGTGGAAGGACAGTGGGAGAGCGAGAGCTCGTCCTCGTCCCTCGGGGGCGGCGGGGTGCCTGAGGCCAGCGAGCCCCCGAGCGAGGAGGAGGAGGAGGAAGAGGAGGAGGAGGTAAGGTGTTTGCCTCAGATAACGCAAACCTGCTTCTCAAAGTACATGCCGCAAATCTGCACATAAAGAAGAGTTTACTCGGCCCAGTCAGGCCACATAGGGCGTTGTCGTGGGTCAAAACATCACCAGGCCCAGCAACAGTTGACTTCGGAGGCCTGCAAAGTCCTAGGGACTGTTAGGTGTGGAGGGTAGAATTCCCCCGAGTGAGGATGCTAGTAGATAATGCTCTGGAGCACAAGGCATGTGGCCTTGTCTCTACATACAAGGTTAGCAAATAAAAGGAACTACCATGGCTTTAGAGTTTAAGAACACGATTAAGCACTTTTTCTAAGAGCAAAGAGAGCTCTATGTTAAAATTAGTATCTGTTGCAAACTGAAGTGTTACTTCTGGATGTTCCCAGAGGTTCTGCCTGTGTTAGGTCTTGTAGCATAGGTGGAGGAAGTCAAATGCGTCATTTAGCCCACATGGCACAACTTAAACTGCTAGTACATCTGCAGCTGATAAAACCAAGACCTGCCAAGTTTTAATAACAATAACTTAAATAAAATTACATGTAAAGGGAGGAAGGGGTTTGCTGCCATCAGATTGGTCATAAGCAGTAACTTGTCGCATGCTCCTTTTCTGTATGATGCTGTTTCTTTGGTGTTAGTTATTAGATGGTAGAATATAAACTAAAAGTTTTGTATATTAGTCTTAAATAGAAATGTATATTTGTGTTCAAATATTTAAGATACTGGTCTCATTTGGTATCTTATTGTTTTCCTGGTAAGAATCATAATCATAGAGCTACGAAGTATGTTCCCCCTCAAGTAAGGAAAGCTCAGGAGACACAGGATGACAAGAAAAGAGAAGAATTGGGAAGACTGAAGAAAATGGTGAATGGTCTCATTAATAGGTAATGTAATAAGGAAAGTCATTAATCTTTCTGGTTTGATGTGACAGTGTTAATCATTCAAAGAAAAGTGGCAAGAATGTGACTTTTCTCTTCACAAACTGATTTTAAGTTGGCAATCATGTCTGCTATTCTTAATAATAATTATCTTTGTTGATATAAATTCTTCAAAGCTGGTCATTATAGAAGTTGAAAAATCTAGAAAATAAATTTAAGATTGGGCTGAATTCCACACAGCAGTTGCCTGCAAGTGCTAGGTATAATTCACTAAGTGTCAGTTGGAGTATGCCTATAAAAAAACCTTATAGTGTAAGTTATAACTCCCCCCAAAAAAGCATATTTTTTCTTTTTTAAATTAAATAAATTTATCCCACACTACAACTGAGGAGTAGCAGCACTTGATAGATTAAAGTACTGAAAACCAGAAAAAACACTTAACGCTTTCACATGTTTTGGAATATTTTAAAAATAACAAATCTATTGGCATTTTCTTTCATCCATGTTACCTGTAAAATGAAGACTACAATATGCAGTCTGTTCAGTTGTTTAGAATTTTATATACCTTATACGTTAGAAAAGTATGAGGTATTTTCATACTTAATTTCTGCAGAGACTGTGATGTGCCATAGTTAAAACTATTTTCTTAATAAGTCTGTTCAGTGTGACAGTAAGCACGTTGATATTAGCGGGAGTATTTATAAAACACTATGGTTTTGCATTTAAATATTAAATATTAAAAAAAAAAAAAAACACACATATGTTGTGCTTTTTTAGTTTAGTGAGCACGGTATCTTTTCAATCTTTCTTCTTAAGCCAGGCTAGTTTCTCTAAAAAGAACAGGTGGTTTGCTGGGTAGATTGAAAATTGTGGAACCATGTAAAGAAAAGAAAAAGTGAACATTGTCTTTTGTTTCTTAATAGGTTGAGTGAACCAAATTTGTCCTCCATTAGTGGACAGATGGAAGAGCTGTACATGGCCAACAGCAGAAAGGACATGAATGAAACTCTGACAGATATTCTCATGAATGCTTGTGTTACTGCAGTTGCCATGCCTGCAAGACTGATGATGGAGCACGTCCTTTTGGTCAGCATTCTTCATCATAACATTGGAATAGAGGTAATTTTTGTGTTTGAGACTAGTTCTGTTTAGTAATACAGATTATAGAGTGTTTTCCTTGATATTTGGTTTGAATTGCCTTTTAATTTTTGATTGTGTGTCACTAAAAAGCATCTCTGGTCGAATTTCATCAGTATTTGTAGTTTATTTGCTAGGTGTCCACAAGTGAAAGGGACCAAGTCTGTTGCTTTATCTGATTAATTTATTTCCTCCATGAGTTACCACTGGTCAGTTATAAAAACATAATTTTTTAAGTCAAAATCTTTCTGCATCCATAAAACTGATTTTTTTCTAAGTTTCCAATTTTCTCCTCTTTAATTACACTAAACCATTTCTGTTCTCATGGGTATCTGAAGTTATTGGTCTTGAACGATGTGTATCCAGATAAGGAAAGCGCTACAGTTACAGAAATCCCTTTACATCAGTGGAAAAAGTCCTTTTTTAAAGCTCAGTCATGCACATCACCAGTGGAATTAACTAGGTATGTCGATGACTCGAGAATATCAAAAACTTCAAAAAAGCATGGCAAACTTTGTGGAGGTTTTTCTTTTGTGTTTTTAAGCCTGATGAATGATTGAGATAAAGTATCTCTTGCTTATTGTTAAGAAGAAGCTGAAACTAACAGTGTCAAAGGGACGATTTTACCTAATTTCGGTGAAATGTCTCTCAGGAAACTGGGGTGTTTAAACGCCATGTTCCCATCAAGTTACATTTTCTTTCTGTATTTCAAAGCAAAAGATGTATTGATGCAAGTTCTTCAGTTTGTCATATAGTGACCTGAATGCTGTCCCTGAAACCATATATAATATTAGACAGCTGCAATTACAGCAGCTTTCTCCATGCAGCCTTGCCATTAAACCCAGTTTTGTTCCTCTTTGCTGCTTGAAAGGCAGTTCTGACTGGAAATAAAATGTAATATTACAATGCTGTTTTAAGAAGAGAAACACAATCTTTTTTGAAGTTGAAACTTTGCAAAATACCTAGTAATGGGTTTTAGATATAGATACACTAATAGGTGTTAGAAATAGATAGATGATACAAAAACTGTATTCTGTGCTACCGACTCTATTACACAGCATCTTGGAATCTAGGAGTGTAGTATTTAAGTATGCTATAAAACCCCATTATTTTGTCAGTAAAATAAGTGTAGAATATGCATTAGACAAAATAGCACGGCTGATTTAAGATTAGTTTGAGTAGTACAGAAGTTGGGATTCCAAAAACTGTATTTATACATTTGTTTAATATGATGACGTAAGCTGGTCAAGGATTGTAATGCAAGTCAGTATCACTACTGGGACTTCTGGTTTTCATAAGAACAGTCAGCAAATATTAGCAACATAATAATGGGGAGGGATGGGTGTGGGGGCCTTGTTTAGCAGTAATATATTCATTACCTACCTATATTTTGGTATGCTTTCTAATTCCGGTCTTTAGCATCAGTTCTTTCTTCACAAATATGGAGATTCAAAATCTGTTTTCCCAGCTGTACCATTGACAAATGGCTAAGTTTATCCCCACTTCAAAATCAGCCTAAGCTCATGCTCAGCAACTGTGACAGCTTGGTATGTGGGGAGTTGTTTTACAGTATTATTTTTTACCTTCCTGTTAAAATTTTTTTTCTGGCATGATGAACTCTGATGCATTTGGTGTTTGACATGCAGTTTTTACTGGATGAGTGAGTAGCAGTAACAGCATGCTAGCCTGACAGCTGGGAAGATGCTAATGTGTATCCATGAAAATTATGTAAACAAATTCTGATGTATGTGTACTGTAAGTTCATAACATTTGCTTTTCTTGCACAGACTTTAAAAGGCAACTGGATGTCACATGTGAGATGTAAATAACATATACTTTAAGAAAATGTCATGCCACTTAGATACTTGTATATGTAACTGTAGAACATCCATATTAGTTGAGTGAAACAAGAATATCACTTTAAAATTAATAGTGGCAGTGCCCCCAAAATGAATGTTTTACAGATGTCTATAAATTCTGCTTACAGTTAACTTCTGGATTTTTTTATTATTTCTTTTTCCCCCTTAATGGAACTATTGCCAGGTCGGTGCTCACTTTTTGGAAGCCGTGGTGAGGAAATTTGATGAACTATGTAAAAGTGATGCTGAAGGGAAAGAATGTGAAAATCTGCTTGCCTTGATTGCTCATCTGTATAACTTCCATGTGGTTCATTCCCTGCTGATCTTTGATATTCTGAAAAAGCTTGTTAGCATATTCACTGAAAAAGAGATTGAGTTGATTTTGTTTCTTCTGAAAAATGTGGGCTTTTCCTTAAGAAAAGATGATGCATTGGCTTTGAAGGAACTGATCACCGAAGCCCAGAGGAAAGCAAACACAGCGGAGAAGAAACTCCAGGATCAGACTAGGGTATGTGTGTGTGTGCTTTAAAGATTCTTCTGTTCTGAATAGACTTTTATAGACTTGGATGCATGTGTTAATTTACTACAATGTTTTCTGTTACACTCTATTTAGCTTCTGAGTTACCATTAGGGTTTAGTTGTTGCATTCAGTTATTTTCATTCTTCTTTTCTGTCTTTTTTCATTAGTTCTTAGGACACAGACACCAAAATACTTGTAATGGGTGAGACTAAGACTCTCCTGTGTCTTATACAATGGATAATGCCTCTGTTTCATGCTACATTGTACACTTCAAAAAATGGTTACTGAGGCATGATGTTTAGCAGATCAAGCTTTGAATTGAAGCTTGAACACAAATATTTTTTATTAAATTGAGTTAAAAGTAAACATCCTTCTCTGTATTTGTATTCATGTAATGTAAATTTTGATGTATACTGCCAGCGGAGCTGCTTACTCTCACAGAATAATAATTTCAAAGTATACTTTCTACTTTATTTAATAAACTTCCAACACATAATCCACAGAAATATCTCTTTTCCCCATAGGTTCGTTTTATGCTAGAGACTATGTTGGCACTAAGGAATAATGACATGCGTAAGATTCCTGGTTATGATCCTGAACCAGTTGAAAAGCTCCGCAAATTACAGAGAACACTGGTGAGAACTTTCCTAGCATACATAGTATAGTTATTCTTAAACTAGAAGGAATTATTTGTATTGTACATTGGCTTGATGGGCTATAGTGTTTTTTAGTTCATTTAACAGTCTGAAACTTTTGTGGACAGAGGCACTTCATAGATCATTAAGTAGTATGTCCTGTGTCCAAGTTAAGTCAGCAGTCAACCAGCCTTCTGCAGAACAGTTTGAGAAAGGACATAATACTTAGCCAAAGACTTTGCCTCAAAGTCCTATACTTGAAAAAGAGATTGTGGGATCTTTAATGATTATGCAGAAGAAATGAGTCATTATAACAAGTTCTTTTTTCCATAGATTTTGGATGCAGACACCCGCTCCTAACTTCTCCAGAATTATTTTGGAAGTCTAACAGTTCTGAAAACCTGGAATTTGTTTGGTGGTTTTGTGTTTTTTTTTTTTTTTTGTCAGAGAGGGGGCAGTTTGTCTAGACTAACCAAGTATAAAATGCATGAAAGGGATTATCTCTGGGTTGAGAACTAATTAATTTTCACAGGACGTGAGTCTGGTTTTAGACTCCATGTATCTCCAACCTGAAAATTACACTACTTTCTACAACACCTAAAGGATCTTATTTCTCAGAAATTTCTAAGTGCGGGATGTGCACGTCAGTGATAATAGGCCAGGCAAAAATATGCTAGGTAACCTCGTTCTCTAGAACTTCCTTCTTAAATTTTCACAGTCCTTCTGGTATGTTTCTAGACTCTTTTGTTGTAAAATCTTATTTTGTTCAAAGAGTTAAAGCTTCTTGTTGTTTGAATTGTACAAAACTTAAGGCAGATTGTCATGTCATTTTCTTTGATCACAAGTGTTTAAAAGGAAAATCATGACCAGATTGTAAGATGCTGCAGCTGATTTTTCAATGTCAGCATCAAGTCTGAATTCTAATCAAGTTTTAAGATTGGAAGAAGACTTCTTTTTAATTGATTATCTCTTTTTTTTTTATTATTTAAAAAAAAATCAAGAGCTTCTAAATGTAGATTTAAGCAATTTGTAGTTGAGAAATTAGAGCATATGGGAAACTTGTAAATTCTTTTCATATTGCTGGCTGAAACTAAAGGTGGGAAGGGACATGTGAAGACCGCTATGGAGATTGAGTCACTTGTTTAAAGTATTAGTTTAAAAGTAATTTTAAGTCACTGAAGTGTTTCTTGTGTTCTTTTTTTAAAAAAATAAATCTTCAAATAAAAGCTTCTTCTTTTTTTTTTTTTGTTATTTAAGGTTCACGGGAGTGGTTCTGGAAAAGAAACTCAGCTCCGTGTCTCCCTGGAATCTCTCCTCAGTGCTGATCAGGTTGGTCGTTGGTGGATCATAGGGTCATCCTGGAGTGGAGCACCAATGATCAATGACACAAACAGCAAGACTCAGCAAAAACTGCATATAGGAAAGGTAAATCCAAGTGGTGCTAGTTACAAGTCTAATTGTGATCTTTTGAATATTATTCATACATGTGAATAGGTTCATTTCAGAGCCCACCAAAAAAGCCTTCATGGACTCTTGTAAGACTAAGCTTTTGGACTGTAAATTCTGCTCTTTTTAAAATGTTGTACTCATGCTCTTCCTGAGAGTTGTTACTACAAATATTATGGTATATCTTGTTTTTTCTTATCCTGTGGAATTGAAAAAGTAGCTTACGTAAGTGGAAGTAGAGACTTGATTTAAAAGTGCATTCGCTAGTACGAATTCTGACAGGTAGTGTTGTCTGTCCGTCGGTGACATATATCTAAGATGATTCTAAAAGTAGTGTGGTGAGGTGGTTGTGGTGACTTACTTTAGAGAAGCACGTCTTGAAAATAATTGGCACAATTAAGATATTTCCCTAGTTGAAAAATCTCCTGATGATGCCTATGCCTCTGGACAAAAGCTCAGGACCTTTGGACTGCTGCTTCATAGTTTACTAGATATCTTTCTTAATGGTCTTATCCGAGGCTGCACAGAAACAGCTTTCTTAAAGCAAGCATAAATAAAACAGCATTTAATTTTTTTTTTTTTTCAGGTGAATTCAAAGATAATGGAGCTAGCTCGTAAACAGAGAATGAACACCGATATCAGGAGAAGTATTTTTTGTGTCTTGATGACAAGTGAAGACTTCCTGGATGCCTTTGAAAAGCTTCTCAAGTAAGTACAGACTAGCACAGAAGACAGCCCAGAACTAAAAAACAGTGTTAGCTGGGTTCCAAAAATTACTGGTCTGGGCTTAAGAGCATTTAGATGATAATACAATTAAAGAAGTGCATAGCTAGGGATCCACGTAGGGTAAAAGAGTAGGAGAAGGGACCAAAACCCTGGTGTAAGGACTGTTGAGGCAGGCAGAACTGACTGGCAGTCAGAAGACAGGAGTATCCCCTGTTACTGTCACTCATGTCTATAACTGATTTGCAGCATCTTTTGACTTAAGGAGCCTGTATCTTTTTGCATTGAAGATGTGTATCCTGGTCTAGCAGATGGAAGGCTGTTGCAGTCTTGCTTTTGTACAGAGGTAGACCAGAGCCCCCTTCAGAACGTATCTTGACTTTTTTTTTTTTTTTTTTTTTTTTTTTTCTGCTGGATTTCCATACTACTGCCACTTCCCTTACTTCTTTCCACCTTGTTAAGTCACCTTATAGGTCTCTGTCTGTACTTGCATGCCCTGGTAGTGTTCTAGCACCTCCACTTCCCTCTTGCAGAATTTATTAGTTTTGGATTTGCTCCAGGGTCACATTTCATGTTAAGACCATTTTCCTTACCACTGGGCAAACAGCTTTTTAGAAGATGTGATCAGGGAAAAGCTTAAACTAAGCCATTCTTTGTGTTTGTCAGAGTATTAATTGTAAGCCTGTAGTAACTGGGAGGGGAGAGATCAGGTCTGAACTCTTCTATTGCAGCCTTGTAATTCAAGGGAATTGTCTTACCAGGATGACATGCAATTATTTAATTTGCTAACCAAACCAAAACAGACTTTGTAATAAAGTCAACTAATATTTGATTAAATGCCACTTCTGCAAAACACAGCTTGGATTTAAGACTGTGATGGAGTCATTCCAATATCTTAATATGGCCTGTTCAATTAAAAGAAATTAGCTGCTGCTGCTGCAGTTCTTGCCAAGGCCTGGTAGCTCAATTTGCAAATTGATCCTTGACTCTCATCTGTGCTATTTAAACTAGTATACAAATCTGTATATGTACAGGCTTGGCAGAAAAACCGTCTGCAGATTGCCTGGTGTGTATTTGATAGTCATTTTTATACAGCAAACTCAAAGAGGAATTCTCAAATCTGCCCACATCTGGCAGAGTATAATGAAAAGTACACAGAATTGTCAGTGAAGGAATTAACTTCAATGTGAACATGTGTGCCAGAGGGTATGGGAATCATATGTTTGATGTCAGTCTCATGAAGGAGAGCATGAGAAAGATACAAAAAAAAAGTATTTTTAGCTGTGCTTGTTGATTCATCTGCTGCTTGGTCTCTGGCAGAGTTAAGGTGTGGTTAAATAGTAACTTAAACCATTTTAAATCCAGGCTGCTATAGTTTTGCTTGTCTTTCTCCTTGCAGCAAAAGAAAGTAATTAGTTTGAAGCCAGAACAGCTCCCTGAAGTGGCCCAGCTTGTGATTGCAGAAGTGTCAATGTAGAGGGAGGGTTGGGAACATCACTGGAGACAGGAGAGAGTGAGAGTTGATCCATTTCATCAGTTGAAAGGCCACACCTCCTTCACAAGCCACAGATTCACACAGGAGGGGGAATGAATGCTTCTTAAGTTTGATAGAAGGGTGATTTTTAAAGCTATTTCATGGAGATGAAGAATTTGAGGAATTTTACATCTGACGAAAAACTGAACTTGTCTAAGTCTTAGATGCCCTCTTGTAGTGTGATGTGTAATTCAGGGGAGCGAGTATGTGTATCTACTAAAATAATTTGAACTGACTTTTAAAAAGTGGGTTTGAGCATTGCTATTTTTGATCTAAAGGCAATGATAGTCTTGAGCTTCAGCAGGTGATAACTAACCTACTTAGAGGCAGGCTTCTGCTGGTGATAACCTACTTCAGGGGCAGTTATATACAGCAGGAAATTTTTAAAGTGATCAGGAGATACAAGTCTGTGGGAATACTGTAACTCAACAGTGATTTAATGGATGAGGTGATTGCATATTCTTTATGGAAAATTATCAGGCTTATGAAATCTGTACAGGTTTATGGTGCAGCTCAGCAGTGAAAGACAATTCTGAATCTTAAATTTTAGATGTTTAGGAATGCTAGGTCTGAAAAAATAAAACACTGATAGGACTGTGAAAAAATGAAAGTAAGAACAAAATCGAACATCAAAGTGCTGATTTACTCTGTTCCAGCTGTCTGGCAACATCAGTTATTTCCTAAATAAGGAAATCATGATAGAAGTGGTGATGAACAAGGAAAAAGTGTGTGCCAAATTAGTGATTGCAATGTAACTTCACAAGCCATCTGTTAAATACATGTCCAGTGTCTGAGAACCTGTGTATTAAAAAAAAAAAAAAACCAACAAAAATCCTTTTGTTGCTTTGTAATAAAATCAGATAGAACTTGGCTGATGGGAGAACAAGCGAATTATATCACAGACACAGCACTTAGAGTGCTGGTCTCTTCCGGAAAAGCAGACTTCTAGGTTTTTGCCATTCATTAGCAATCAGCCTAGAAATCATCCCAGATTTTTCTGTTGTAAAGTTCTAAGTTCTGGGGGTTTTTGGCTGAAAGACATTATTTTCTCTGTTAATCTAGTGTGTGTCTGATCAAATGCACTGTCAGATGTCCGGAGGGGTATACAATCAAGGGGTATTAGAATCAAGCAATGACAAACCACAGACAGTAGAGCAAGTTCCAGTGGAATCAAACTTAGTTAGAAAATACACTTGAGTTGTACTAATGCCATACAAAACTTGAGCTTGAAGCAATGAAAATAAGTTTGTTTGACATTTTTCAGTTTATAATACAAAGCATTTTTCATGTTAATTGGTTTTAATGCTGCCAAGCATTTGACAGCCCTGGAAGCTAAATCATATTCACAGAATGGGTGCACTGCGAGTTAGTTGCCATTTCCTGCCAGAGGGTTGCAGTCCTCTGTTAGACTGGTCAGCTGTTCAAGTGGGAAAGTTCTTCAGCCCTTGGCATATATGCTGAAGCAGCCAACATAAATATTCTTTGATACTGACTGTTTTCTTCAGGCTTGCTTTTTTTTTTTTTTTTTAAGGTGCTTTGAAATTACTGACTGCATTCTCTTAGGCTACTATCAAACAATAATGAATTTCAAGTAGTATATGAGTAGTATATACAACAGAGTTGACTTAGAGATTAAAAGATTCATATCACCAACTCGGTAGGAAAAACATCTTAAAATATTTTCTTATCCCTAGTGAGTACTACAGAAGTGAAGGGCCCTGGACATGTTTCAGTAAATAGGCTTATACTGATCCAAAGGCTGGGTTTCCTCCCATGACCATAGGTACAAATGTGAGATAACTGCAACAGGGCCCTACAGTTCTTCTTTCACTATTTAACTTCCATATTGGTGCACCATGCAGCAGCACTTGCTGCAGTGCTACTGCTGCATTCAAAGGCACAAGACTCAATGATGGCAGTGCCCTCTCTGTTTTTCTTCATGGAGAGCTGCAAGCATGAAGTGGGCTACCTTTCCTTCCCCAGGGGGTAATTATATTTGTATCATTACACTTCTGTTTGAGGTCTTGTTTTTGCAGCAGTCCTTTAACACGGATAATACTGTAGCATTTCCATATTGCCATACCAGAATACTGATTTAGCCTGCAGTCTTAAGGGTTTGAGTCCATTCAGTGTTTTAAAGACTGTAAGAACTTTCTAACAAGTAAAATTTAATGTGGTGTTTGTGGGGGGTTTTTTAAGTATTGCTCTGGGATGTTGACTGTAGCTGTTACTTTGTGGCAGTAACGTTTTCCTTATTAAACCATTCTCATTCTCTTGCTTAATTTTAGGCTTGGACTGAAAGATCAGCAAGAGAGAGAAATTGTTCATGTTGTCCTTTATTGCTGCCTACAGGAGAAGACATATAACCCCTTCTATGCATTTTTGGCTAACAAATTTTGTGAATATGAAAGACGATTTCAGGTGAAGAAAAATCAGTTTCTTTGTTTTAATGTCATTATTGTGTTTAGGAAGATAGTTATTAAATACCTGAGAATAGATGCATGCCTGTTAATATCTTGATCCTGAGGAAAAATTCTACTCATATAGCTATGTATTCAGTAAGACATACCCGTGATCAGATCTGAATAGGAAATAAAATAACTACTGCAGAAAGTTTGCTTTCCTCTGTTTTACATACTTTAAGAGAATTGAACAGTCTGATCAAGCATCTCTGTTAATCAACAGAGGGCTCATAAAGAATAAAAGGTCAAAATGTTTTGTTATGTTGTTATTCATTTGAACAGTCACTTGATATCTAGGATTATTTTTTTTCCTTTGACACCTAGATGACATTTCAGTTTAGTATCTGGGACAAAATCAGAGACTTAGAAAACCTGTCAGCAACTGCCATCTCCAACTTGGTTTCACTGCTGACTCACTTACTAAGGACAAAATCATTGCCACTTTCAGTTCTCAAGGTTGGTGTGTTTTCAAAATACTTCTTTGTTTTCCTTGCATTTGCTAGTTCTGTGGAAAATGTATTTTGTCTGTTACCTAGATGGTACTTCAGCTGTTCATTGTCATAAGCTATGAAAAACTTGTTCTAAAATTAGCAAATCGATCCAATTGATTATGGTAATGCTATTATTTGGGGAAAAGGGAACTTGTGGTGACGCAGGCATACAGAAAGTACACAGTTCTATATCTAGAGCAGTTGTAATATTTTCTTTAGAGTATCCAAGTTGGAACTGTGACCCCTTGCTTAACAGGCTTTCTCAGTGGATTTTTGTGTGACACTTTTTAGCTGATGTTGATTTTTATTAGACCAGAAAGAAATCTACAGAGCACTTGGTTTCAGAATAGGGAGTCCATAGAATTTTATTAGGACAGTAATTGAAATGTGTTAAATACACAATTATATGGATTGTCCTAGGTACTTCAGAAGTATTTATCTAATTAGGAAATTATATCTGGTATTACTGGTACCAGTAGGCAGGGTATTCTATAGAAAGTTTACTGCTTTCCTTATTGATTGGCTTTTGGAGGCAGCATTCTCAGCTAATTCTTCTGTGCCAAACATAAGACTCGGTATATATGGGAGGCCAGTTGGTGCACTAAAAGCTGTTCATTTAGAAGAGAGTTCAGCTGTTTGAAATACTTGGATTAATCTAATTCTCTCTCTTTCTACTAGGTAATTGAATTCAGCGAACTAGATAAACCCAAAGTCCGTTTCTTGCGACAAGTATTAAGCATGCTGTTAATCAAAGCAGATGCTGAAGAACTTAGTGACATTTTTGTGAGGTAAGTGATCAGAGAGATCTCCAGGGAGCCCTTGGTGAGTAGTAATTAAGAAGATAAGAAGTTTCCTTATTTTATTTGGAATTATACAGTGCCTTTTCCAAAGATCAGCTATCCATCCCTTAAAAAGTAAGCTCTCCTGAGTGAGTAGGGGGAAGCATATCATTTATGTGTTAGTACAGGCTCTGTTATAGATACAACTGTGAGAAGTGTTATACAAAGGCTTTTGGGTATTTAATGTATCATTTTGGTCACATGAGCAGAGTTCTGTAATTACCTGCTTTCCTTTATTGCTTTACCATCTGTGTACAGTGGCATTCACTCTGCCAGCCGTCTTTGCTAGAAGGTATCTTTAGTGTAAGAAGGAAAAATAAATGCAAATGAGGGAAAGGTTTGATGGGTTTTTGTTTGTTTGGGTTTGTTTTTTTTTTAATTCAACATTGTCTGGAAAGTCTTACTTTTGTATATGAGACAGGGTGATGAGATATGGGAAGGCTGAGAAATCTCCATCCTTGGAGATGCTTAGGACTTGAGTGGATAACTCTGAGCAGCCTGACCACACCTGGACATTAGTCTGGCTTTAAATGGGAGGTTGGACAAGATGACCTGACAACATCCTTTCTGACTTAAATTATTCTGTGATTCCATGGTTTTGTTGTATTAAACTCGCAACGTCACATAAAGTTAGAAAAAAATAGATTATGATGTTTCAACAATTATGCTGCAACACAAGGAAGCTCAAACATGATGTTTGCCTTGTTTTTTCTGTAATGTCATTATTTTCATAGAGTAAATCTAAGGCTCCAATATTCCATTTTATTGTTGAGGGACAATTGTACATTGAGTGTGTTTGGGCTGTTTGCCAAACCAATGTAGACTTGCTGGGAATTTGAAAAGCACTTCAGAAAAGCTCCTTTTATAGGTTGGATTTTTTTCTCTGTCTCTATTTGAAGAAATAGAAAAGAAAAACCAAGAAACTTCTGAAACAGTAGAAGACTAAATACTATTTTTGATCTGTATCTTTACAGGTTATCTGACAACCCCAAACTGGGAGTTCTACGGGAAGGCTTGAAACTCTTCCTTACCCACTTCTTACTGAAAAATATACAAGCCCAAAAAAGTGCTGAAGAAGCTAGCTTATTAAAAGAAAGAGTTGAACTAGCAACCAGGGCTTTGGAAGCAAAAGAACCAAAATTGAAGCTATAATTCTGTTTTTCTAATAAAGCATATAGAAAAACTGAGTCTGCATGAAGGTGCAAAGCTTTGTTGGTCTTTCAGACCCAAATAATTGAGATTGAGGAGAGCTGTGTTACTCTAAAGGATTCACTTTTTGATGTAAACAGTTACTTTGTTCTACACACTAGTTACAGGTTTAACTGAAGGTGATACAAGGCCTTTTTGAAGAAACCGAAAATGTATTTTTTTTGTCATGTCCCTTTTTAGTACCAGTGCTTCATGTTGATGGTTAGTATCTGGAGAAGAGGATGAATTTCTCTTCGATGATACTCCCAGTCAGCACTAGCATTCTGCATTGCATATTCTAACCTTTCATTTAAAATAATAGCACAGTACTGACCACCGTGTGTTAAAGAAGCAGGCATAACCAAAGGCTTTTAATAAGTAATCGTTGTACTTGCCTGAAGAAAGAGGCCACTAGATGGCATAAGTACTGGTGAGTCAGTTCTGGAAGAAACCAACTTTTCTTAAAGCGTTGAAGTTATCTGCTAATTCTGTGAATTGTTTACCTGACCGTGGGTCAGGAAAAGATCTTCAGTTGGATTCAAAGCTGTAGTAAAACAACTTGAAGATCTGACTTTGCCCAATTATACTGGGTTTAAGAGATCACAGCACAGCTTTATTGCTCTCTTAGACTGTTTTTCGCAGCTTTAAAATTGGAGTTGCCTAATATCTTGTGTTAATCACATTTTTCTAGGCATAAAGAATAAGAGCAGTATAAGTCTTTTAATAAGAGAATTACCTTCCGTAAGAATTTGCTTGCATTTTCCATTCAGATGTTTTTTAAAAAAAAAAATCAGGTACATTTCTTTCCGTAACACTTAGTGTTAATTGTTTGTTTCTTTTGTCACCTTACCACTACACATTAAACTGAAATTTTTCTAAAGGCTTTGCTGTTTGTATTAGCTTTACGCTAGCTGGTTTGCCAGGAATGGAATTACCTTCCTGGAGTGGGGGCAGGGAGGAAGCACTTTCTTGCCCACAGTACACACTGCATCTGCATAATCTACCTGTGCTAGAGCTGCCAGCCCTGTTCCTATAACCAGGCTTGTCCTCTGGTGTTAGTAGTCCACTCACTTGGGGTGCCTCCTAATTGCATTTGATACCAATTGATCTATTCAGCTGCTTTGGATCTGTCCCTGATGGGAAGATTTGCTCCCAGTAGGCATCCTCCAGAAAATGTTCAGTTCTGCAGCAAGAGAGGTAGACAAGATTTTATTTATTTATTTATTTTTAGGTAGAGTTTAATGTAGAATACTCTCCTTGCCCAGGTGTATGAGTATTGTTCTCAGGCAGAGGAGTCCTTCCTCTAGCAGCCAGGGAGTTGTTTTTTTCACCTTTCCTCTGTTGGAGAGGGCAAGTTGTAGGGAACAAGGGGTCCTAGCAGCAGAGATACCCATTTTCAGAATCACAAGTTACACTAGCACGGTAACAGCTAACACAGTTTACTATCAAAAGAACAAAGCAAGATGCTTTCTTCAGCCTGTTTCATACCATTGGCACCTTTTAAGCATACAAAACCAGACCTTTCCCCTCAGTTGCATCTTAGGTGCAACAGGCAGAAGAGGAAAAAAATTCAGTTAAAATACTTTTGAAACTCATATCCATTGACAAAACTAGGGGCAGCAGAACAATTGACTCTGTTTTGAAGGATACAGAAGTCACAACTTAGGAGAGTGCATGTTAACAGCTCCCTTGCAAACAGCCATGCCAAACCTTTTATTTTAGTTTTGGAGGCTGGACTCAGGAGAAAATCTGTGCAAGTCCCCAGAAACTGGCTGCTGTGGAATGCATAGGACCTCAGTGAGTAAAAATTGCTCCCTCTGGACTGCAGCAGCCACCTAATTAATTACCTTTTTCACAGGGGTTTAGGTAGACCGAGCATTTCAACATGTTTGTGGTTTAATAACACATAAATGGAAACACATTGCTGTAGCTGGGAGATTGAGGCAAATTTACTCCTCGAGATAAATCTCAAAACATCTTCCTTAAATTAAATGTGACAGGCTGCTGGTTCCTTTTTTGAATGCTTTGCTTGGCGATCAGAATTGCCCACCCTTTGCTGCCCATGGAAAGATCACCTAGTGTTTTATGGGTCTGAGTCTATTCACTTGCTGCAGCTGCCTGAGGCAGTGTGGTGCAGGTGTTGCTATGCAATTAGAGGAGATGGTTTTAAACTTACAGTATAAAATTACAATTGCTATTTTTTTAAAACTAAGACTTGCATTAGGTATTATTTATCCCAAACAGATAGTATGTTTTATTCAAACGTAGTTATTAGAGCCCTTGCTTTGTTTCTGAAAAAAACAGATTTTACCTGCCTGCAGCTTTTACATTTGTCACATTTATGTATAAACATAATTTTTTTTAAAAAAACCCAGTTTTCAAGGAAAGCAGCCAAAATGCACTGACAGTCCCTAGTGCCATAGTCATGGTACAAGGACAGTTGCTGCAGGTGATTCTGCATAAGTCCCATCCTCTCCCTGTGATTCGGTGAGGGAATAACTGTCAAACAGAAATTTGACAATTCTAAGACAAATGTGAATTCCTGAGTCTTGGATTTTGCCATGTTTAACAGTTCTTTCCATGGTCCTACTGGCCAAAGTGCCACTGCTGGACAGAGGGGGGAGGCCTGTCTGCGTGTGCTATTGATGCACATACACATCTGCAGGCTGTCGCTTCTCTGGTCCAGTCACATCCCAAGGATATAAGGCTCAGGTGAAAAGGAAAGCTGAGATTACTTTGTATTTATCTATAAATAAATTTGTACCTATTATAATTTATAGATCCTGTATCTGTATAAATGCATGTATTAATATATGCTATATACAATATATCTTTTTTATCTATAGCATATTTTTAACCCTGGAGAAAAAACTCACCACCAGCAAAGCTAGCCCTGCCAAAGTGTCTCCTCCTTATAGTAGGGTTGTCGGTGCTAAAAGGTCTCTCTGTAACAGCAGCAAATCCGAATGCTGGCAAGGGGCTTCCTGCAAAACTGCACCCTAAGCACTGACTGCCAGAAGAGGCTGCAGGGGGAGTTACCTCAGGCTTGGACACGGTTTCCTTTGTCTGCTGCACAATAAATGTTCAATAACACACATACACAAAGTACAGCATGTTGAGTTACCTTCCTATTGACTATTAGTCTGTTAGCCAACATCAAACCTCTGTGAGGAACATTCTCTGATCATTCCAATAAGAGAGATGTCATTTAAAGAGTCCAAAATTCTTACATAAAGAAGGTTTGGGGGAGTTATTACTTCACAGAGTTACTACTTCATAAGCCAAAAAGGGCTTTGAATTGGGAAAAATACACTACACTGGAAAACCAAGCAGCTATGGTTGTGACCCTAATCCTTACTCCTGACAAGCCGGTGGAAAATACAGCATGGTTAACTTTAATTTAACTAAAAGCTGGATGCTTAATTTATTAGCTATATAGCAGAAGATTTCAATTCCCCCTTTAAACTGCACTGCACTATCCACTCATAGCTATTATTGCAGTTTCAATTTTTGTTTTCTTTTAAGCTGGACAGCGATGTTTTAAACTTTCTCTGTTTTCTGTATCAAAATTAACAGGGCAGTAAAGTCTGTTTTTTAGCTTTGGCCAGAGTGTTACACTGATAAATCATACACAAGTCCTTTTGGCAGGGTTTTAGCACCGCACCTGAATGGGCCAAGTATCTGCAGGGCTTTTTTAACTTGACATTTTTCCATTGTCCTGCACACCGGGGATGATGGGTTGATATCAGTCGTGCTCCGAAAGCGCAGACGCAAGCAGGTCTGCCCTGCCTCACGCGAGCGAAGGTGTGCAACCCAATACGGTGCTTAAAGCACATCTGGGAACGTTTGATTCACATTGTTCTGCGGGTGAACTTTGCACGTGAAAAGTTACAGCCCGGGAGCAGCGCGGTGCCAAATGTGCGCGACAGTGCTTTCAGCTTGATAAATACACAAGCAGCAACTCTTATACTCACATTTTTGTTGCATTGAGTGTAACAGAGGCTTAGAGGCTGACTACATCCCGTGTGTGTGAGAATCAATACGTGATTTTATTTCCTGCAGCAGATGAAGCGATTTTGTTTTCAGGAGACAGATCTGTAGGGTCACTATTCCAAAGGCGGGATGTAAACCCAAGACTTTTTGGGTTGGACTGATTTCAGGAATTGTAGGTAGAGATATGACTCTTTTACCATATGCCACATTTTGTGATTTCATCTCCTGGAGGAACTTTCCTTCGCCCTCCAGTAAAGCTTAGTTTACCATGAGGCCCGCAGGCACGAACATCACAGCCACCCATATAAAACAGCTCTGCTATCCTCGAATTCTGGTGTGACCTGCAGCCTTGCTTTAAAACTAATTACAGTAGCCTCCCACTAATTCAGATCCATGCACAATTCAGAATTGGATATCATGCAGTTTCCCTAATAATGCCTTAAAGAAATGAAATTAGCATCTATCAAGAATAAACATAGGAAGAGCCAGCTGGCATCGAAAATTCCTTAAAACTTGTGTCCTAGGACAAAACAGTTCACACACCAAAACCAGCTCACCTCATGTGAATTGAGGACTTCAAAGTGAATACATTAAAAACTAGGTAATGTAACTAGAATGAGAGGTACAGAGTAAAATTACAAATAGAGACCTTTTTTTGAATAGTTCCTTTAAAGTCTTTCATCAGTAACAGTGAAATGCTTGTTTCATTTTCATAACTGAAAGATTTCCGAGCATGGCACATTTTTTATTAAAAACTCCATTATAGACCTTTTACCGTTCAGACAGTAAGAGTACCCTCAGCTCTCTCTTGGGTGGGCAGGCACACATGGCTCCAGCGTGAAATAACAGGGAATATTGTTAGGAGGCAGAGAAGCCCACTGCAGGAACAGCCTTCAGTTACAGTCAGGGGATGGAGCAATGCATTCTTCTAATAAAGAGACAATAAGCCAAGATATGCTTGATGTCACCTTGGGGAAAAATAAGTCATCTTGATTGCATTTTCTCA